TAGTAGCGAGCATCCCTGAACACACATCGCACCGTGGCGTCGGCCCACCTCGCCCGCGCGGGCCTGCTCACTCTGCGATCCATATTTTCCAACCCCCGCACTCTCAAAGGCTGATCTGAACGCCATCAGCGTGAAGGCCATCCTCGCGTCCCTCAAGGACCGGTTCCAGGTGCGGCCGCGGCCCCCATCACCGCCTGATGCATCGGGAGTCTGCTCCTTTCGTATCCCCTGGGGCCGCCGTTGACGTGGGAGCAGCCCCCACGCGCGGGCACCCTGGCGGCAGCTGTGTCCTGCACGTGCTCCCCGGGACAAGCCCCTTGACCTTATGTGAACTGCTGTTTGAGGGTCAACATCTTATATCACACACACACACACACACACACACACACACACACACACACACACACACACACACACACGTGCATGTACTCACACCTGCAAGCACCCACACGCATGCGCGCGCGTTTGTTCTGCAGGTGGACATGGCCCCCAAGAAGGCGCTGGTCAAGGGGGTGGCCCAGGCCTACATTCAGCAGCACGCAGCAGAGGTGGAGGCAGCCGCGGCCCCCGCGCAGGTGTGTGTGTGTGTGTGTGTGTGTGTGTGTGTGTGTTTGCGCACGTGCGTGCACCCGCACGCGCGTGGTGTGTGTGTGTGTGTGCATGTATGCAAGTGAATTTGTGTACCTGCCCGTGTGCTAGCACAGGCAAGGGGGTGTTCAGGGTTGGTGCTTGCAAACGTGCCGCCCGCTGAGCCGCCGGGCTGCGTGTGATGAGCACAGCCGGTGCCACAGACGGCCCATGCGTTCTTCTGCCGCGCCCGCCGTGCCCCCGCCCAATGTTTTGCAGGAGAAACCGCAGGAGGAGGCGCCCGCGCCTGCAGGCGAGACGGCACCGCAGGAAAAGGCAGCAGAGGAGAAAGCGCCGGAGGACGAGGCGGCAGAGGCGAAAGCGGCGGAGGGAAAAGCTGCAGAGGAGAAGGTGGCGGAGGAGAAAGCGGCGGAACCGGCTGAGGGCGCGGCAGCGGGCGAGGAGGCGGCGGAGGAGGAGGAAAAGGCGGCGCCCGCAGCGGACGGCGACGCCGGCGGCGACGCGGCGGCGGGGCAGCAGCAGGCGGGCGATGGCGAGGCTGAGGATGGGGGGGAGGCGGGCGG